CCCCCCCGCCCCTCCCTACTATCAGTCACCACATTGGCCTCAACTGCAAACTTACTAAATTGTATTTGAAAAGTTGTTCTGGTAATAAATAGCAGCTTAGATGTTCCTCTGGGGAGACCCAGGATGACTTATTCAGTAATCTGATCCGTGCACCGAGCGTGCACCGACATGCCTCACAACCTAATGCCTCCACCAACAGAGGGGGAGTGTTACAACTGATCAGCAGTCTGTGCAAGACTCTGTGTTCAATGCAACCGTTCAAATGTTTCACTTTGAAAAGAAGCAAGATTGTACTTTTACCGATCCGTTGGTAGGAGTTTGTCTCCTGCCTAGCAATGCCATGGAAAGACAGCTTGGGGGTGGGGGGCAACTTGGCACATCCCCTAAATTTACTAAACGCAAATGCAATGCGAGTCCTTTGGAGCATGAACCCCCCCCAAGGTTCCCTCCTCACCCTGCATCCTCATGAATGCAGCTCAGACCTAATGACACATCTGCTGCTATAATCACCTATTCACCAATGGCAGACAGGAGGAAGAGAGGAGAGTCTGTCTTGTCCATCCCATCCCAGCCCCCCCCCCCACACACACACACACCTCCTTCCCACCCCCCCCCCCCCCCCCCCCCCCCACACACACACACACCTCCTTCACACCCCGGAACAACCCCCACCACAAGACACCACTGGCCCGCCTTCCTTCAGCCCGTCTGTGCTTCTATCACTCGGAGCTCCAAGGCCCAGAAGAGACGACACACAAGACTGTGTGACACACACACACACACACACACACACACACACACACACACACACACAGGAAGTGATGAAATATATATTCATGTGTCAACGCAGGTTCATTATGTCCAAGTGTCATTCTTGTCAAATTGCCATAATGCCTTGTTATTGGTAGAATAGAGGGGTAACCATTAAAATCCGTCAGTTTAGAGTCTACTTCTTGCAGCTAGCTTCAGATGAACTTACACGCCTATTAAGCTATCCACGGCCACCCTTTGGGTCTGTCTGTCTGTGGAAGAAAATTTGAGCAGAAATGAACACTGGGTAAATAACGGCATCGACTCATTCCAGTCCTCTTCCCCTCATTTATAATAATACTCTTTACAGCTCAATCAGTGGTCCTGCTCATGAATTATACTTGTAGATATTTTGGCAATAAATGCAATCCTGGATTCACACTGGCTTTCATTCAACATTATGGATTTACACTACATCCTCCACCAGCATCAGCAGAAACCTGACGGTACCCACACAGAAAGGTTAGGCTCAGTCAGAAGTCAGCCAGAGTTATTCTGAATGTGTAAGAGAAGAGAAACTACCTCGGAAATATACGTCATTACCAAACATCAACCACGTAATCTGCTCAGTGGATTAAGACAACACAGCTAAGTGCACCAGAACATGCAAAGTCAGAACATTCCAACTAAGCCCAACGGTGGAACCAACCAAAGAACATTACATTATTATCAGATCTGTGCCTCTCTGGGAATGGATTTTAGCCACAACAAAAAGCAATACAATCTCATGTTGTGATGTTTAGAATTCAAAAAACAACTTTAAAAGTAGCAGCAGGAAAAAATAAATATATGGCTGATTATGGCAAAGAAAAGTGATCTAACAATCTAATTTGCTATGCAATCCTTCTAGCAGCAGTAGTCACTCTTTATTAGAAGGTGAATAAAAGAGTATGAAACACATTATTATTTTAAGCATATAATGAATGCGTGGAACAGACCATCTAATGTTGTGGTGTTGCTGTTTATCAACAGGTGAAATCCCTTGTCAATCAATTCCTTTTGGCAGAGGTATTTACAACAAAACCCGATCTGCAGGATTGTTATTGGGGCGGATCGCAGCGTTTTTCCCCGCTTGTACTATAAAACGCTGGAACCTCACAGCGAGGTGAACGAATGACCTACGCATGAACTGCAGAGCACACAAACAGTAGATGATATGACCGTCGGAAACTATACAAAAACACTAATCATATCAGGGTCTGTGGAAAAGCATGAAAGTGGCCGAGCAGAGGACTCTCAGCAGCTGCTGTTGTGCTGGTTTCAAAGTGCTGCCAGTATAGAAAAAATGTAAGAGACTGAGAAAGAGAAAGCGACGCCGTGACATACAGGAGTTTGTCAAACACCCCAACGCGAGGACACAAGTCAGACCTACTCCGCGTGTGCATGCGCCGGTATCTGGGTGTGTCTTGGCTAAACATAAGTAAACTGTGATTAGCATTAAGGGTTGAGCAGCAGCACACTGAGAACAGGTCTACCTTGCCAGGCCCACACAACAAGAGTAAAGCTGATCTGTCTGGAGATAGAATGCTTGCACAACAATGTGACTGACAATATCTTTGTGTGTGTGTGTGTGTGAGAAAGAAGCGTGTGCAACAGCGTGACATCAAGTTATCCAGCCAGTTCCTTCACCATCCACTTCTTTTGAGCTCCATTTGAGTGTAACCACCAGCAAACTATGCCAGTGATTAATCCTCAACCACTCTGCTACTCTGGGATTAAGTTCCTTTAAGCCAAACTAACAATCATATCAACTCCGAGAAAATAAAAGAACACATGTCTTCTAAAAAGTCTTTAAGTGACTGTGAGAGGACGGTTATGAGGAGGAAAAGACACCTTCTGGATGGGCACGTCACCACTGTCTTTTGTCTCCTCCCTGACCGCCTAGGAGACAAAGACAAGTCAAGGAAAGGGAGGAGGACGGTGAGGATGCATCTGTCACCCTCTGTAACTGACAGACCATCCTGACAATAGACAAAGGCCACGTTTATATGAGCTCAGTGCGGCTCTGAATGCAAAGCTAACATCTTAACACCACTATACTACTCCGAGGTTATACCCAATAAAACAGATACACCCTACCACTGATCAGTGTCTGTCAGTAGAGGGTTTGAGCCTGCCTACGAGTAAACAGACAGCGCCCACACTGGAGAGAATTTCCCTAAAAATCTCAATAAGTAAAAGGACGTCAAGTTTGAGCCGCGATGACTCGCAATAGTATGATCTCATTGAGCGGTCTCCACCTTCAAATCATATTATATTGACAAAAGGAAATAATTCAGTTGCTCCTCAAAAACAAAAGAACAAATCACGGCGTTTCATTGAATTGACGCGATTGATAGCACATGAGCTAAAGTAGCTTTAGCTAACATTGGTGAGGTAAACTGACGTTTTGAATTGCGAAATAATGTACTGGGTGTAGTAGAGATCCAAGTTTGCGCACGTCACTTTAATACATCTTGGTTGAATAGCCTACTTGCTACTAACGGTTGCCGCTAACGTTAGCAAGTTGAGTGCAAACTTGCGGCAAAGAAGTTGTCATTAGCTAGCTAACATAAGCTAGCGAACAACGTTAACTTGCTTACGTTGATTTAGTTATAGTTGAGTTCGGGCGGTTGGAAAAGTGTACAACCCAACTTATAAAGTGTGTTTTTATTGCATTTTATGTACCACTTGGTTATGTCTCTGATTTTGATATTTGCGCTCCTAAATACAACCGCTGACTAAAAGTTCATTTCTGATACAAGATGAAAACTTAGCTTTAAAAAAAGTTGGATCAAGGCTAGCAAAGCTTATGTTGGGATAGCCAGTGGCAGATAAATACAACAGGAAAATTCAACTGTTGAATACGAAGATTGCCATTTATTAGAGCCACAGCTTACATCCGCAACTACTCCAGTCGGCTCCCAAAACGTATTTTCAGTGCTAAAACGGCCAACTAGCATGCTTAGCTAGTTAGCGGTCCTTTAAGCTAGCAGCCGAGACGGGTGCTCGGTGGAGACATCACTGGATTAACAGGACATCCATGGAAAAACAAAACAACTCGTCTGTCTTTGAAAGCCGAGGTTAACTTACCATATCTTTCGGGCTAACGTTACGTCGGGTTCAACTGTTAATCCAGCGGTACAAACACATACACGAGTTTTCCAAGGGGGGGACAAATCAAGACAAGAGTACTTATTTTTTGGCGTTCAGGGAGCTTGTTGCGCCTCCGCCTATAGCTAAGTGTTGCTAATGCTAAGCCAGGAGCCAGGCTACACGTATCTCCTCCTCCAGAACATGGCGGGCAGAGCGGGGGGGGGGGGCGTGAAGGGTGTGACCAAGGCGGGCACAAAGACCAAAACTATGCCTTGTCATGTCACTTATTAAGTCATGAATGTACATTTACAGCAACAGATCAAGAGCCAGCATCATGATAATTCACATATTTGATCCCAAGTTGTAACAGTGCATGCAACAGGGTGGGCCCTAGTTCTGGGAGAGTGGGTTTATAAAATATATCACAGTGCTGGTTGACAATGTCTTTTTTAGGATTGCAAATTACAAAGACAATCCTGTTTTATGACAGTCCCCGTCTCTTTTGATTTAGCTGTTTGGTGTCCGTCTGAACTGACCTCTCAAGGGCCACCACTTGTGTAATTTACTTATTTTAATGCAAGTTGTATCAGCCACAGGGAATAAAATGCGTCGGCTCAGTACACAAGCATGTGCATGTCATGATTTGTCAATGCCAAACATAGCCTGGTGTGTGTGTGTGTGTGTGTGTGTGTGTGTGTGTGTGTGTGTGTGTGTGTGTGTTACAGGTGTGTCCCTACAAGCCTTAAAAATTGCAGGACAACATTCCATCACTCACTTTTCCACTGTGTCTGTGCAACCGCCTCATCATTTAAAGACAGGGTGGGGCATACATGCATCATTTGTTGATTCAAATTCGGCTCTATGAATAGAAAAGGCTCCCCGGAAAGTGTACAGTGAGCTATGAATAGACGTCTACATGTGTAGATGGGGAGTGCGATGCTTAGAAATAGAGTTAGGGATCAAAACGTCACAGTTTCACAGCACAGGTGACAACAGAAAAATTGCCACCACCTTAACGACAGTATATTATGTCGATTTGATGTCTGCAAACTTTATTTTGGCTCACTGTGAATATTCTGAGCTCCTGGCTGGCAGGGACATTGTATTTTGGTATTTCTCTTCTTTCATCCGCTCTGTACATCTCACATGGAGCTTCACTCTTTATAGGCTTTGTTCAGAGCACAGGATGAGCCGAAGAGAGCCTAAGCCAATTGTGTTTGTCGGTCTCTGCGCGAGAGAGAGAGAGAAAGAAAGAGAAAGAAAGATGGACTTGGACATCATGGTGCAACCAGGCTGTTTTAAACAATCAGCCACACTAGTTTTATAGCTAGAAATAGATTAGAGCTGACATTTGCAAGCCAAGATGCAACCAAAACACTGATTATTAACTATCCAGACCTTTCCCAAAATATTATTTCTATACTGTTTTTTGAATACTGATATAACCCAAAACCTTTTAACTAATGGATCTTCTTTTTCTTTTTTTCGGTATGAATTCAGTTGAATGTTTTTCCAGGAATCTGACTCATCATCGTCGACTTAAAAGCCTCCACGTTAAAAGCACAACTCCTGAAACACACGGAAAGTCAATATTTAGCTCTGATACGATCTTGTTCAGAAGAGGATTATGAACCAAAGCTGGTTTCTCTAACAACACCAGAGGTGACATTGTGTCTTTGTGTTATTAAATATATTTTTCTGCAGCTGAAAAAATACAAAAAACAACTGGAATTTGTTAAAACAAGTGTGATAAAGTTTTCCTGTGATCACAGATAACCCTGAATGTGACGTTTAAGCGTGGGTCAGATCTTTTATTTTAGCAAACATGTAAAACTAATTCAGCATCCAAAAGTTTCTCCTTAACACACAAAATAACTTACCATTTCCTGACATCACCTTGTTTCATAGAGCTTTCTTATCACGTCTGCCTGGACTGTTATCACATGTTCCCTTAGAGAGGCTTTATGGTTCAAGCTAGTGCAAACCTGGACTGTGCTTATTCCACTGAAGGCAACATATTTGAAATTGCCAGTGAGTGCAGTGACGGTCAGCTATGTCTGACAGTGTGTTGGTGCCTCCTGCAGACCAGATTACATCACTCCTCTGCAGGTTTAATGTCAGCCAATAGAGGTCAGCAGTGTTCTACTCTTTTATTATAAGCGGTGAGATCATATTGTAGCATGAAAGTAACTCGGGAGGTCCTTACAGCTGATCCCCTGCAGCCATGTACGTCCTTTAATATGTAATTAGCGCCTTAGCTTGAAAATTCAGTAAAGCTAATTAACATTAAACACTGCAGCCTGCCTGCTTTCATATAATTACCCCCATTCACAACACTCATACCCTATTAGAGACTCATTGGGCCCTTAGCTTTGCTGTGTGCATCCTCGGGTCCAATGACTTGACTGTGGCTATTCCTTAAATGAACACCAGCACAGAGTTACAAGAGAAGCAAAAAGCATGAGGTTATTTGATAAGCAACTCTGCAATATCCACAGCATTATAAATCTTTATTACGTTATTATATTTCCATTGTTATTCGCTGATAAAACCTCGTCGTTGTTAAATTATACATTGTTTCATCACACTTCGGCATTTCAGGCCCAGACTGCAGTAAATCTCAGCTACAAAGGCGGGGAACACATGTGAGTCATGCCCGTTTGAATACCATTCAGCATGCATGTGTGAACATAGCGGTTCACATAAGTAAAACAAAACCTTTCCTGGTAGTCGTCGCATCAAATACTGGTGCTTTTCAGTTTTCAAAACCTGCAAAGTTATGTAATTTGGGAAAAAAAGGGGGAAAGACTGGCAGGATTCAGTGTGTGGCCTGCGGTGGAACACGTGGTTCCAGATGGAGCCGAAATCAGCAGAAGAAGAAGACAGAAAGCGTGAAACAGGATGATGTGTAATACCTGCCACTCCTGCCAGCTTATTAGCTGAATCTTTTCAGACGTGCAAATGGTGTTGTGCTTGCTGAGGGCTGGTGTAAAATCTACCTGCGAGAATGTAAAAACAGTTCTTTTACATTTGCACATTTGACGCAAGTTCACCTCTGTGAGTTTAACTTGAAGCTTTTAGTCACCAATCAGCGTCCATGTTTACAACTCTGATAAGGGATGAGGGAAAACAGACCAAATTACATCTTTAAATCTATAATTCAGGCACTCTGGGAATCGCTCTGCCTTTTTGTTTGCACGCCACGCTGTCGTTTCCAGCCTATCGCTGTTGTTAACCGGCTCTCTGGTGGGTTTTACCATTCATCACTAACTTAATGTGAACCAACAGTTACAGAGGAAAACATTAATAATACACCGTGTTAATCTTACTCATCTTACTCAAACACTGACGGCTGTTTTTTCTGCACAACTTGAGGCAAAATAGAATTTTTGAATTCACAAGAAATCCTGATAGATTTGCACCCGGCATAGTCTGAACATCATCGCTGAAACTTTTAAACTTGTGAAACTGCTGATGCAGATAGGAATCAAGAGGTTTCCACATTTAAAAAAGACCAAAAAAAGCCACTGATCTTATCCACGGGCTGTCAGTAATTAAGGTTTTACTTTGTTTTACTTACGTTCAACCGTCAACGTGACTTCTTTACACATTTAACATCACATTTGAATGAAAATTCCTTCTCTTTCTCTCCTTTTTATGTTGACTCACTGGTGAAATATGTCACTCAAACACGAGCAGAAGAGCGGGCATCTGCTCATTGTTAAAGGAAATCCAAAGGTTTCTCACCGAGTTCACAACATTTCTTTTCAAGCCAATTTACGATACCGACGGATTTCTTGCAAAAACAATGAGAGAAGTGCCGAGAAAAGGAGTGAGATAAAAGAGAGAGATGGGGGGAGACTGAGAGGGGGAGATAATCACTGGACACAGGGGACAGATATTTCTTTTTTCAGAGCGTGGTAACAGAGAAGAACAAACTAATGAGAAGCTGGGCCTTCAGAGTTTTCATTGTCTTTGAAGGGAAGTTGAGAGACTTTGTGCCCACCTGCTTTTCCGCCGTTGCCCACTTGCTTCCGCTGACACACACACACACACACACAAACCTACACACACACACACAGACCTACACACTGCGCCCTCTGCATCAGTGCCCCCGACAGGAAGAAGTGTTTTCATCACTCAAGCAGAAAAGCTCGAGCGTGCATACTAGCTGAGCCTGTGTGTTGTTGGTGACACAAATGCACCACAACTGAAGGATAGTTTCACACAGACAGTGAAGTGTAAGTTCAACAGTTCACCCATTAGTTGATGTGAGGATTATAATGTAAAATAAATCATCAGTAATATCACAAGACGTGTCACTGGGCAATTTGATGCAATGCGACGATAACAAAAGCCACTTGGCTCAAAACATCCGGGCGCTGCCTTTTCGCTGGAAATGGACACAGGAAGTGATGTCAGTGCATCAGCTGAGTGAGCTGAACAGAAGGAAAGGGTCTGAATGCAGTGAGTGGCTGAGTAGACAAAGAATAGAACCACCTACGTACAGAAAATCCAACTTGACGAACAGAACAACAATCAACAAGAAGAAAAAACAACAAACAAAAGTAGCGCCCACGCTGTTTGTTTGAGAAGCGCCACACAGAAACACAACAGCGATGACCAATTAGCACCAATTAGCTTCACAAGCTAACAGGTCGGACAGCCATCTGTGGCGGTTGTGTTGATTTCTAAATCCTCTGATGCTCAGTGATCTTCTACTTACTTTGACTTTGAAATCAAATCCTGTTCAGCATTTATATATACATGCATAAACAAATGTATGCCATGCATGTCCTCGTGTGTAGGAACTCGTGGGAAATCATCACAAGCACAAGAAGGGGGGGAAAAGTAAAGATTGTGCTTTTGGCCCTTGAGCTGAAAGGCAGTTCCACTTCCTCTTCCCCTCTTCCTCTTCTATTCTTCCAGCAGCCCTTCTCTCTTCCTCCTGCAGTCCCTCTTCTCAAGGCTGAGTCAAGAGATCAGCTGACTAGGAACTTCCTGGACAGGTCATGCTATTGAAACCGCAGTCCGTCCATGACTTCCTGCTGTTCTGCTTTGTCCAGGTCTCATTTAGCTGTTCATCTCGCAATCTCGCAATTCTTCTCACAACATGTTGGTTTTAAATGAAATAAAAGAAAAACAAAAGTTGCGTAGAGAGTCAAGAATGTCCACATTTATCCTGTACTGCAGCATCATTTCATGAAGAATAAGCAAAAACACATTGGTGAGGATTCTAAAGAGCCGGAGACAGCAGCAACATTTCTCATGACATATTCTGACGAGGCAAAAGGGCAAAAGCTCTCTCATTCTGTGACAGCTCGTGGCCTCAGTGTGCCGACCTCATAACACGCAAGAGCTGAAATGTATATGTTGTCTCTCACACCAAGAGGAGAAGCCGTTGTGAGCATCATATTTGATGTCAGTGCTGATGCAACCGTTGGTGCAATATTCTGCACTTTGCATAGCAAGCATCAGTGACCTTTTAGGCTAATATCTGAGGCCATTACTGAACATGAGACCGTTGTGTGTTGTGCATGCATTTACGTTCTGTTGTTCATGCGTTTGCAGTGGAAATGGCTTAAATAAGACAAGCCTTGCTGAAGACTGTTAGAAATCACAGTGTGTGCTGTCTCCACATTGACTTGACGTAACAGTTGGAGACCTTTAATGTACTTTGACAATATAACCATCAACATATTTTCTTTATATTCTGATCAGCATTTGTCCTTGAAACCGATGGGTCACCCATGCATTACCTCACTGGAAGAGAGATTTCAAGTTTTCTCTCAAAGCCGCAGACTTTCTGTTTTGGTGAGATCTTACAGGGGAAGTGTGGAAAAGTTGCATTTAAGCTTCGTTTACACCCACAGTGTGTCAGTGTGATTGTATGCCTTCACTACATGAAAAATGAAATGAAAAGCTCTTCCCTGGTCAACTTTTGTTTGTTTTTCTACTGTCCACTATTTCCAACTTTACTCCAGGGCACTCTTTGCAACAGTGAATGCAACTCAGTGAAAGAAATGAAGTTGGGATGTATGTTGCTGCTGTCAATGCTGGATATATCCTCCATCCTTTTGTCTTTTTTCTGACACTTCCAAAGGTTCATCCAGCTGCCCAATTACCCTCTTTGCCATGCTGGTTGGTAGACACACTGTAGAAACACTCTGTTGCTGTTCCAGATGCACTCCTGGACGCCTTGCGATTCTTGAATGCAACCAACGTTAGTACAAGGCAGCTTAACAGAGGGAGAAATTAAGCCCTGCTGGCTGCTGGCCCAACAACTACACATTGAAACTCAAATATGTAATCTTGCATGAATGCCAATAAATAATTCAAACGCTTTCCATTTTTGGACAACATCTTCATTTTTTCTTCTCAACCTGTAATGTAAGCTTTCAGCTTTTAAAGGTAAACGTGGGACGGCAAACATGAGGTGACTTTTCACCTCAAAGGTGTGAATCTGAAGCTGGTTTGCACGGAGTAGCGATAAACCACACATGCATTCGGCCAAGTGATTCAAGAAACACACACACACACACACAGAATCCACACCAACCGTGTAAGACAAATATATACACAGGAAGTGCCTCCCACTCCCTCGCCCCTACTTGCTGTCTCTCTCTCTCTCTCTCTCTCTCTCTGAACGTTACTCATGGTGGTGTGTTGCTGAGCAGCAGCCAGTCGTGTTTTTCCCCTCGCAGAGCTCTCTCGCTCTCTCTCTCTCTCTCTCCCTCCCTCTCTCTCTCTCTCTCTCTCTCTCTCATCCTCTGCTCTGACTCTCTTGTGCGCTCTCTCGTTCAGCAGACGGATGGGCGAGACCTCTCCTCTCTTGCTCCTCTTCTACTCTCTCTCCTCGTCCTGTCTTCTTATTTCATTGCCTCCTTTTTCCTTCACCTGTTTTATTTTAAACATTTCTCCCTCCCCTCCTCCCCCCTGCCCCCCCTGTGCCAGGGGCATTAGTGGGGGTCCCAGATTGTGGAGTGTGTATATAAGTGTGAGTGAGTGTGTTGGGAGGTTTCGGCATGGAAGCAGTGGCACTGTATACGTTTCGTGCCACAGAGGGTGATGAACTCAGTTTCAACAAGGGGGACTTGCTCAAGGTAAGAAAGATTTTTTCTCCACTTTCTATCTATCTATCTATCTATCTATCTATCTATCGACAAACATACAGCACATGCCTCAGAACAGAGTGATGGATCAACCGATTAGGCACCTCTCTCTCTCTCTGCCTCCACTGTGATAATTACAACAATTATAAGTGTATCTGTATCCAGGTGCAGCTGTTGCTAAAAAAAGAAGGAACTGTATGAGAAACCAGCCAATCGACGGCCTGAACTTGCGTTGAATGTTACAGACATTTCAGACTGAGAAAGGGATCGGCACACTAAGAACTCTGGACAGGAAAATGTTATTTAAACTTCCACGGTAAAGGAATCGTTTTTTTCTTGGAGGGGAAATACACTTATTCTCTAGTTTCTTAACGAGCAGAGTTACACCTATGTCTGTGTGCTGAATAAGTAGTCAGCTATCTTAGCTTAGCATCAAGAAAGAGCTAAACTGGCTTCATCTAAGGCTAACAAAACCCACCTACCTGCACAACTACAGCCCAATGGAATGAATGTAAACTATAGTGACTTGAGGTTGTCTGCCTCCCCAAACCAGTCAAGTGGCAGTTTACTCATGTAATGTAATATATGTGTATATAATATATATAGTGCACGCTTTAAAGAAATTTACAATAAAAGGTGTATTTTTTGGTGAAATGGAAGGTATCAAATTGACATGTACGATTCCAGAGAATCATGTCGTAGAGACATTAAAGAGGCGTGCAGAGGACTGATAGAGAGCTTCGTCATGTGGGGCAAAGACAATCACCTGAAGCTGTCCTGGTGGTCCTCCAGGGAGAGGAAGTGAAGAGGGTGGACTCATTCAAGTACCTCGAAATACAAAATGTGTTCACATGCTTGGCCAATACAGTTGATTCTGATAGAGCACAAAATAGCAGACGATGCTGCAAATAAGCTAGAAATTCTAAAACTTGGATGCTTCACACATTTTCAACCGAAGTTCTAAACAATGAGTCTATTCTCAAGGTGAGCACCAGAGATTAGTGGCACCGATTCAGCATCTGTCCAAATGTGAAACATGGTCATAATCTCCCCTTCTGTTCCTGAGTTATGGCGTTGAATTATGGCCAAAAAATAAAAATGACCCAAAGAAGTTTATCCAATTAGACATTTGTGATTCTAAATTTGTCTAAATTAGCAAATTAATTATCGAGTTAGGACAAAATCAAGAGTCCAAGTAGACGTTTGTGTCACATTTAAATAAAATTCCCTCCAGACGTCCCTGAGATATCTCAGCCTGACAACAGAATGCCTCCGTCCACAGCTGTCCCCGCCGCAGACTCATGAATACGTGAAGGACCGTTTCTTAGCCGTCGTCAGTCACTTCCTTGAGTTTCTGGTCTGTCGTTTCCATGCTAAGCTAAGCTAACAGCTGCTTGCTGTAGCTTCATATTTTGCCGACAGACATGACAGTGGTCTCAATCATCTTATACAACTCTTCGCACAACAACAACAACAAAACGAGTAAAGGTATTTTCTAAAATGACAAACTGTTCCTTTAAACCAGTCTGATCTCTGATCGGATGCAAAACAAAGATTCTCTTAAAGCTACAGCTGTTGTGTCTTTCTAATGGATAACAGGCCAAATGCAGCGCTGAGATAGTTCCTGCACAGCTGGAAATCACTGTAGTAGAAAATTGTCCCTCGAAGACAATCAGCAGCAAACCTCAGAATTAAAGAGCAAGAGCTTCTCTCTAGACTTACGCTACAGCACCAGCTGTTCCACATCCACCTACAGTGCTCGGACAAAGACACAGAGATCAATTTCTCCACGGGGTTCAGCCTCAGTACACCAGAGAGCAGTGATGCTGCAGTACAAGTTCCAGGGGCGGCTGTTGCTCTCATTGTGGTATCGCTTTGGCCACTTGCATATATATTAGTTTGTGAAAGGCATGCTGAGAAAAGGTTGGAAATTTACTTCGAGGTATAGAAATAGTTGAGTCAGGTGGAGGGAAAGAATTCGTCAGGAAATAACCCGTGACATGTATTTGAATATGTCAAAGGGGATAATAATGCCTGAGGGTCATTTCATGCAGCAGACGGGTATATTATTCATCCTAGACACACTGTTACAATATTAGACGACACATGAATAAAGCAGCATCTCATTCCTGCTGAGTCAATGTATGATGCAGTCAAAATGAGGTGGCATTTTGTTTTTCTGCTTTGTCTGAGCCTTCTCAGAGCAAATAAATGTGATTCTTAACTTCCTGTAGTATTTATGTGCAGATATCAGTCTTTGGGTCTTATTAACATACTGTATATATCTTGATGGCTGGGCCAGCAGCATCACACTGAACTCTCTTCTCCTTCCCGCTGGGACAAAACTGCTGTTTAGTCTCCAGCCAAACAGCTCCGGTTCAGACTTGGGTCAAGCGGTACTTTTAAATAATTCCTCACATTTGTTCATTCCCGCTCACGGCGCCAGATGGTCGCAGCTTTAAAATTTCACCACGACTCATACAGCATCACGCAAAATGCCCATCATTTAAAACAGCTCAAAATTGAGTCAGATACTTTCCTTGTCACTACTTACTGGTGGTTTTGTCCCCAATCCTTCTGTTGGGGAACATCTGGAAATGCATCTATTAGGCTGACTAGAGTGTAGACTCCTAATGAAATGATAAAAATAGCTTCAGAGTTAAATAAAACTATTTGGAGTTTAAATCCTCTGTCACTGGCAGTGACTCATAGGGGACTGCCGGGGGCTAAAGTGCTACTATTTAATTTGTTCACTTCCTGGTGTGACACAAGGCCTGTTGAATGAAGGCTGGAACATGGTCTTAAGCTATGGGGGGTATGACCATTGTGCGAAACACAGGGGGGTCTCGCGGGGTCCCAGACCCCTTGATTAACACTTGAGACCCCCTGAAAGCCTTAATAGCTAAATTGCGGGGGGGTCAGAGAGTTATTTGTCACTTGCAATTAACACTAGAATGACTTTCAGTGGAGCTGTGATGTTGGAGGGTTTCAGCAGAAGGCGCTAGAAATAAAAGGGATGGCGTGCTCTTTGGGTTCGCTCGGCCTGACAGAACATTTTGAGTTTGCTTGAATGGATGGTGGCGGAATTTTTTTTTAAATAGAAACATTTGTTAATGGTCTTTTACTAAAGATATTTTCAATAATTGCAGAATTGTAATTCTCACCCATTAAGTAGGCTTTCATGAAAACCTCCCTGCGGACGCCTCGCATGTGTTGTGCCCAGGTGGACAGCTCCGGTTCTGAAGAGTGAAGTCAAAGCAGAAGTGTGTTAAAGCTGCATTCTCTCTACTGACCATCAGGGGGCGACTCCTCTGGTTGTATAGAAGTCTATGAGAAAATGACTCTACTTCTCACTTGATTTATTACCTCAGTAAACATTGTAAACATGAGTTTATGGTCTCAATCTCTAGTTTCAAGTCTTCTTCAATACAGCATGATGTTCATTTCGTACATTATGGTCCATTTAGAGTCAAACAGACCATAAAGCAGGGTATGCTTTAGGGCGGGCTTACTGTGATTGACAGGTCTCTACCGTTATGAGCAGTATACGGCGTCTCTACGTCACTCCTCTGCATTCCAAATATGGTCAGTTCAGTTCACTGGTTGCAAAAAAACAGAGACGGCAACGGCCATATTCCAAGATGGCGGCGAACTCGAGGCTTCATAACGGCAGTCCACAAACCAATGGGTGACGTCACGTTGAATATGTACTTCTTATATACAGTCTATGGTTGTATACCAACAGTTTGACGCGATACAACGCCATGAATTCTTCTATTTTAACCCTCCTTGGAGTGACAAAGAAGACCCAAGCCCAGAAAGGCTGCCTTCCTGACTGGGGCCTCGAGGCCAAAGGGAATCACCTGACCTGTTTAAGCCTCGTTGAGAGTTGTCTTCAGATATTTACACTCTGGTGCAGATGTTCCCATTGGAGATGTATTTTTCATTGATGCATTAAGTGCTTATAGCATGATAGTTATTTTAAGGGTTCATTATGTAAATGTTAAATCCATCGGTATGGGGAGCTCAGTCAGTCACAGCTGATTCGGTGGGGGTGGTTGTATGAACATCCTATACATATACATCCTAAACACACATGGGGAGGAAAGAAATGAATAATGGATTACACTGAGCTCAGAAGCTTTCGACTGAGTTCTTTCCCAAGAAGCATATACAACAATGATGCTGTTCATTGTTGAGTTAATAAACAATAGGGCAGCGATGAAGCAGAGTGTGCAAGACGAAGAAAAAGAGAAGCTGATTTTAATGCAAATTCAAGAGCTGTCGATGCATCTGTAAACGTAGCGCTGGCAAAGTGTAACCTCAGCAAGGAAATGAGAGGAAGGAGATACTTTTCAATTCAGATTTTGGTCAGAAAAGACGACGTCTAACGGAGCCCTGAGCTGGGCGATGTGACTATGGTCGTCTTGAGACAGTCCGACATGTTTTAAACCTGTAATAAATAGTGTTAAATATAGCGAGAGATTGTTTCAGATGGATTTCTTTTTATTCAGATGAAACGTAGTCTGGCCAGCACTGAAACCACCAGCTGAGTGAAAGGGCAATCATTCAGTTCTGTGATTGAACAATGATTGATGCTAAGAGCAGTTAATCACTCCACAGCCTGCAACACATTTTACAATGCACGTACGATTGTGCACACCATTAAAGCAGGTGGTGCATGAAATGAAGTTCCTGAATGCAGACAGGGGACAGGACAACTTTTTGGGAGACTTTTAGCCATCATAGATGCATTAAAGGGCCGGATACATTTCAGTTGTACACGTGTAACTGTATTTCACGCTCTGCTTGCTGTCAGTTTTAATGTCTATGATTTAGTTTATTTGAGTTTGACTGATAAAACACAGCAGCACTGTGATTAAAAAAAAGAAAAAGTGATGAAGCTTAGCTCTGTAGGGGAGATAAAATAATAAAATAAGGGGTTTATAAATCAGTGCACACGGAGCAGAGCAAACAGCAGCTTAAAAAATCTAAATGACAAGGAATGTCACAGCCAGATTAGAATACTGAATATAAAAAATGACAACAGAGCAGAAACAAAATAGCTACAAGACCAAAGAGAGACACCAGCATACAACAGGGAAACATTAAAGCAGTCACACTGGAGCATATCAGGTGACAGCGTGTCTCTCACAATTAAAGGCTGGCCTCGTCACCCCGCTGTTTCTACACCCAAAAGTCATTTAACACCACCGGCCTCTTGTTTGACTGCAAATGAAGCTGAGGAGTTCTGCTCCGTTATTGTGCAGCAGCAGCAGCAGCAGCAGCAGCAGCAAGGGCTAAAGCAGTTCAGATCTGTCTGCCTGCCCCTCATGTGTGTGTAGTCATGAAGGGCTTCATGTGGCATTTTGAACTCGTCAATAAAGCACGTGCCTCGGACGTTTGAGTGAGCGGACGGCCTCGCTTCACACATCGACGGATGAAAGCCACTGTAGCGGATAATAGAGGGAGAGAGGCCGGGCCCGGGAGACGGACGTACGGCCAGTGAGAGAGAAACGATAGTGACCTTTCACCCGATAGTAATAGGCTGCGTCACATCATTATGGGCAATATTTCATCCATCCGTGTGTGTGTGTGTATGTGTTTGCTCATAGATCACCAACATGGAGGATGATCCTAACTGGTACACAGCTGAGCTCCACAACAGAAAAGGCTTTGTGCCAAAAAACTACATCAACCTGCGACCACACGCGTAAGTACACACACACACACACACACACACACACACACACTTCTTCAACTTTATTTCTTACATACATTTTTTTACACGTCAAGCGCTGGTCTATCTAAACATCTCATGAGTAAGTGTGTGCCGCTCTGGGCGTTTTCTGCTCTGCTTTGGACATCTGCACTCATAACGGCATAAGGCAGCCTACCCAAAGGGACACACTCACTCGCCGGCTTACGTAATCACACACGATACAGCCGTGTGTGTGTGTGTGTGTGTGTGTGTATGTTTACAGTGAAGCTGCTGGTACACCCCATATCTCCATCAGATGGTCATACACCAGCTGGGCTCTACTTTTCGCTGCGACAAACACACCAAACCGGCAGCACAGCCACTGATGCGGCTCTGGCTCGTTAATGAACACGCGTGTATGCGGTCCAGTGTGAGCTGTTAAGTTAAGTTTGTGCTCAGCGTGAGAGATTTTTTTTCCTCCTCCACGTTTCTTCGCAGAGCCAGAGTTCTTGACCCCGTGACCTTAACCGCGATAGAGTCCCATAATGCTGCCTCCGTACCGGATGTGCTCTCCTCTCGTTTGAGCCATCAATCTGAGTGCAGAGCGCAGGCTTCTGCAAACCTTGCTTCCAAACAAACTGCTCGACTAAGCAAGACTAATGAGCAAGAACAAAAAAAGAGAAAAAAGAAAGAAAATGGCACTGTTAATTACGCCCCACAGCTGACAACTGACGGTTTTTGTTTTTGCGTGCATATTTAGCAGTGTTTTTTAAAAATAACTTCACAAATGTGCTAATTTTACTTTTTCCTCCCGTTTATATCACTGTCAGCATTGATCTGTACAGTTCAGAGCTGCTTTTTTCTTTTAAAGTCTCAACATTTCCACTGAAAATAGAAACATCAAAAGTTATGAGACACCCAGATGAATAATTCAATGTGTGTAAAATTGTTTCGTAGCTGCACAGACCCCCAGAACAAGGCATATGCATAAAAGAGCGAAATGAATGACTTCTTTCTTATTTTTCTTTTCCTGCTTCCAGCTGGTTTGCCGGTCGGATATCTCGCGGTGTGGCAGAAAGTCGACTCCGACACAGGGAGTGCGGGGCCTTTCTGGTCCGAGAGAGTGAGAGCGCCCCTGGAGAGTTCTCCATGTCCGTCAGGTAAGAAGCACAGGACTCTTCAAGGATCCAAAACTTTGTCTTAGGTTGATCTCTATACACTATTCAATTCCTATTCTCCATGCATCCTCCTATGACTGCAACAGCCCTGTTTCTCCACAGGGATCATTAAAGTGTCTCATCTCTTCTAATGCAATCTAATTCAATTAGCGGATCTATGCAAACATATACTATGTGCACACGTCCCCGCTCACGCAGCGGTGTCGTCCCTCGTTTGATCGTTAATTAAATGTTGAGTGGAAGCTTTACGTTGGTGGCGGGGGATCTGAGGACCTCCTGCAGAAGAGGAGAGGGTTAGAGGAGGTGGTGTGGGGAGGAGGGTAAGAGGATCTGCAGCCCCTCTGGCCCGATGTGAGCTAATCCTGTCTGGCACACCACGGCATCTGGAGCTGCTGATGGGGTCGATCGGTTGTCTTGTCGGGGGGATGGCGGTGAGGGATGCAGCTGAGGCTCTGTGTTGTGCAATCGGGGTTGTGTAGGGGGGATCTGGAGTCAGAATTTTGGCATAAATACAGACCTGGAAGTAAGGGTGGGCTCTTCTCTGGTTCCGCAGAGGCTGTATGAGTACGAGTTGGATTTGTGGCTTGTGTTGGGTATGATATCTCTCTCCCAGTGGATTTAAGACAGGCCTTTGGAAGCATTAAGGCAGGAAAAGGAAGGAAGTTGCCGGCATTAAGGGGGAAAAGAAGGAAGGAAGAGCAGGGAGGTGCTGTAACAGGTCTGCCAAGAGAGAGGGAGGATTTTGATGCTTCTTGTTTTTTTTGTCTTTTTGTTGATTCCTCTCTGGCTGCTGTTGTTGGATGGTGTTACAGCTCAGAAATTGGGTCAGGTGTGTGTCTGTGTGTGTGCGGTCGTTGTGTGCTGACAGTTCTCCCGTCTGAGGAGACGTCCTGACAGCAGTAACTGTGGGAGCTCGGCTCGGTCCGGCTTTGTCGTCAGACCGTGAAAATGTGATCCACTTTCAGAGCCACCAATGGAGCCAAAAAGGGACTTTGTTTTCTATAGTTTTACAGAAAAACCTGTTTGAGATCATGCAACACTGTGAAGGTTAAAATATAAAGTTGTGATGTTTTAATTGAATTAAATATCAGGGTCAGTTTCACCTCCATGTTTTATTACTCGGATAGTTTGGCTGCGATGCAAAGTTTTAATTGTCACTTTAACGTCAAGGAGAGGCACCATGATTCACAGAATGCACCTTTTAATCACCTTAGTGCATCATGGAAGTATTTCATGGTCTTAAAGGTCTCGGGTTGGGTGTCACCATAACATGTTGTTGTTGTGACTAATTATATTCGTACAAAATTAATAAATAATCACCCCTGTTACCCCTTTTGTGTTAATTTGTTCCAGCGTTGCATTGCTCAGGCCTCATTTCCAGCTAACGGTCCCATCAGAAAGCTGTGAATGGGTTATTGAGCATAGCGTTGTTGTTCATCAATCCAATCCTATTATGAAGAAATGCACAGTGGGGACCACAGGGTTTTCAAAATACTGATGTCATGGTGACGACGCACATAATCAGCTAATTAATAGGTTTGAAAAGCTTGATTCAGCCAAGAAGGAACACCGAAACATGCTATCTACGAGACTGGGAGCTTTTGGTGGCCTCTCAACGGCTCTCGACATGGCGACGGCTGAGCTGGCGGCTCGCGGCTAACGGTGCTAACGGCGCTAACATTGCAAGCCCGGCTCTGTCAGCAAAGCAAGGAGAAGCTCCAATAACAGCACACACAGAGGGAGAGAGACTTCATTCTCTGCTGAGGTAGATGTTACTCGTCTATATCTTTACATAGACAATAGTTGTCTGCTTTATAAACACTTTAAATGTTAAATACAGATCCTTTAATCCTTTACTTTATTCACCCAATGAAGATACATGGCTCTCATTGGACAGCAATAGAATCAAATCAATCTTTTATTTGTTTCTGTGTATATCTTATGTAGGCCTTGATATATTGAGTGCACAAGAATATACTGAAACTCGCCTGTAAAATATCCGACATTGTAGAACGTGAATTTCCCGGAGGTATCTGAAACCTTCAGGTAAATAACAAGGACTAAACCGCAGAGTCCTCAACAGTGATTCAGACCGGGGGAGCTTGAAGGTGATCAGTCTTCATTGGGAATAAAAGCTTTTTGTGGTCTGAATTAGAGACGTATCATTCGCAGACGGACCAGAGGGGCTCCTGTTTAAGCGCAGCCTCCGTTCAGAATACTTTCTCAAAGGTGGTTATGAAAGAATGCGTGGCTGGGGACCAGCTTCAGACTATGCCAGTGAAACTGTCCCAATGGGTTATTTAGTAGCTTATTTTTGGAAAGTGGAGCAAAGTGATGCCAACCTAGACTTTTATAGAGAGCGATGAGGAATCCATTTTGTTTAGCTAGGCTTTCAAGGTTCAGCAGATTCCACCTAAGGATGTGTCTTCTCTGAGTCTGAGCCTTCCACAATGCTCTAATATAGATCCAGTTTTAAAAAAAGAAACTGAAGAACAAGAGCTGAGGTATATCAACATAGATAAAAGGCAGCATTTGGTATTTTTTATACTCTCGCTGACAAGGGACGTAACTTTCACTTTCTCTCAAATGGAAAATCTCACTTCCTTCCTCACGCTCTGCCACAATCGTCGATATCAGTCCTTCCACCTACACGTAAAAACTCTCAGCTGAACGTAACAACGACAGTGCACCCATCTGTCAGTCATCAAAAGACACTCTAGGAAATCAGTAGCTGAAGCGAAAGCAGACGGAGAACATGTGGGGCAGACTGGAGAATAATCCCAACGCACATGTCTGAAGCTGCAACTTCTTCTACTTTCTTTCAGTCAAATTGGAAGAGAGCAAATGTCACTTTCTTTTTTTCTTTTGATTGTCTTGTAGCGTGATAGAGCTTGAGGTTGTTTCACCACAGCTCAGTCCTCTATATGTGCGTCTCACACACTGGGTTTTTAACAGTATGGTGGTCTCACACACCCACACCCACACACACACACACACATGGCTTTCCTGTGGCCTTTGTCGTTTTCCAAATGTCTGTCAGAAACTTTGTGTGTACAATAGCTTAAGAATATAAATAGTGTGACGATGACTATGATATCACTGCAGGTATATTTGAAACTTACTGTATATGTCACCCAGCTGTGAGAAGGGAAAACGGAGGTCTGTTGCCTGCGCTGCCGTTTGTCTACTGTCGAAGCACTTCCTCGTGGATCGTGGCCTCAGCTATCACCGACTCACGCTGCAGTCGCTGAAGGCTCTTACAGCAAAGTGCTGAATCGGGCCGTTCATTCAGCTTCCTTGTCATAATTAGTCTCTTATCGGGGTCATTACTCCAAAGAGGAACCATAAAGGGGCCCGACCCTTTAGGCAATACGCTTATTTTACAGCTACATGATCTCCTTTGTGCTTAAAATAAGTGCATGGCAGGGTGGAGAAGTGAGCCAGTAAAGAATTGATATTCTAGCAAGTTCACTGATTAACACGCTATGTCTTATAGGTTTGTTACCTTTAGACAAAACCAGGCTAGCTGCTTCCCCCTGTTTCCAGTCTTTGTGCTAAGCTAAGCTAACCGGCTGCTGGCTGTAGCTTCATATTCACCGTAGGCTACATATATCTAACTCTCACAAACGGTCCTGGAGGGTTTGGAACTATCCCCAATGAAGACAAATGTCAACATTTGCAGTAGTAACCTTAGAAAAACGATCATCTCTATGTTATTTTGTTTTATTTTCATTATTGCTTCTACGTTTGGAACCAAAAAAAAGTGCAGCGGTCTCCTTTTTTTTTTTTTTTTTATTAACTGTCCAGTTAGGCTTTCACAGCTTACACCACAGCTCAGTGGCACCCATTGAATAGCAGAGTTCAGCGACCAAAACACAATTGAGAGAGACTTGAGAGAGACATAAATACAGAGAGAAATAGAGAGAAGAATATAAAGAGAGATGGAGAGAGACAGAGGGAAACAGCAAGCAGCGACTGCAGATAAAATAGGCAGGAGACGGGAGAGCTTATGGCAGGTGGAGGTGCATGATTTAACTTTTGGATTTCCCTGTTTTCTCATATTGACAGAGCTGAAGTAAGACCAGCCAGACCCTCTGGGAGGTAAACCCTCCAGAGGGTCTCGTCCTTCCCTCCTCACAGCAGAAATAAGAGCTAAGCTGATGAAACCCAGAAACAACTAGAAGAGTGAAGTCAGTAGAGAGCAGATCTCCTCCAGGTGTATCTCCCTCTCATCTCCCAAACAAACAACAGTCAAGATGGCGGCTAAGATAACAGAAGCGGGGATTTATTCATCTCGGGTGTGGATGGTTCAAAATGAGACCAAACTTTTCTGAAATGTGGCCTGTAAAACACTGTGTGAGGCTTGTTTTTAGTATTCAGAGAGAAGTAGAATTACCGCCTTGGCAGTTGGATACTTAATATATTTAAAGAAATTTAGCTAACTAGCGTACCAAATCGCTACGGGCTAGTCTGAGCTTTGAAAGTCAGCTTGGCAGGATAACTGAGATAGAACATGTTCATTTTGTGAGGTTGAACGAGACTAAAAAAGTACTTCAAGTCATAGTAGTACTTTTTAGTTTTCCTGGCTTAAATAATGTACCCTTGTAGCTTTAGACTAGCTTGAGGGTTTGCTAGCCTAGCGTTACTTAGCGGTGGCTCTGTTGAGATTTAACTAAACCGATTATGTCTTTCCTTGAAGCATCTCTGGCTCGGAGAATCTATTACATAACCACTCAAATCTATATTCATCACAGGAATACCTTTTGCCAGTTGCTAATTCCTGCTTCCTGTATCTCAACCAATGACAGCAGTCTGAACCCAACCCGATCAGTTTGTCTGAACACAAACGACTTCATGGTTTAAATTCGCAGCATATGGAATTGAAAAAGTTATCTTTTCAAAAGCAAAAAAACAGTTCTGCTTTTCTAGGTGTCATCCCTGTTTGTTTAGGCCGGTAGTCGTCTTATTTATGATGATAACCG